GCTGTCGCTGTCGGTGGCAGAATCGCCGGGCGCAGCGGTGGGGTCGGCGTCATGCGCCGGCTCATCCCCGCCCCGCGCGGGTCCTCCATCGGTGCCTAGCGGCGCGTGCGGCGGCCCGTCTTGGGGAGTCAGGAGCGTAAGCGGCGCTAGAGTTATCGGCTGCTTTGATCCATTGGCTTTTGGCGCAATCACTGTCGCTGGCTCGCGCGCGGCTTTCCCAGGCCATAATCGGCGACACGTAAGAGTGACCCTAAGCAAGAGCGCCCTTGGCGCGCGGCCTTAGGGGGGCCCGCGGGGGCCTGGAGCAACCGCGCAAGCCGAGGCCGTCGGATTGCATCAGCGATCGGTGGGGCGCGCTTCGATAGATCCCTAGCGCCAGCAAGCAATTGCGGACTTCCGCTTATTCGTTCTGGGCGCCCCAGAACGCCCGCTCGAGGGCTCTGCGAAACCAGACCTAATCGGGCGCCGCCGCGGAATGTTCTGGCACTGCCGGGCCGCATCGCGATGGCGTCTGACTGGGTCCGGCGTCAAGGCCGAAAACGGGCCGAAACTTGCCCCCCCCCCCGCGGCCGCAAATAACTTTCAATAATAAAGAATTGAATTTTAAAGCGCGGAATGCGAAAAGTTATTCAAAGTTCGTCAAAGTTAATCAAAGTTAGTCAGAATTATTCCAGGACGATTTGGGGCCGGTCCCAAAGCGGACAGCACGTCGCCCGCTCGACTGGGCCCCCCCTCTCCGAACGAAGCACGCGGCAGAATGCACCGCGCATGCGTTGCGATCGATTGCGAGGGGCACGCCCTGAATAAAGCGCGCTCTGATGCGATCGCAGACTGGCGCAGCGTGCGCCGACGCGAGGCCGGGCGCACTCCTCAAGAAAATCTGTCCGACCCGATTAGGGCCGACACTAAGGGTCACTCTGGCCAAGGGTCACTCTTACGTGTAGCCGACATAACGCGGCGAGACTTCTCGGTGAGCGAGTTGCGTCTCGGCTGTGCGCCGGCGCAAGCAGAGGGCTTCCCAAGCTGAAAGTCGGTCGAGACGTCCTCACGGTCACAGATGTGAGGGAACTCGATAATGACGATGCGTCGGGGCCGATCGGTGACCACGTTTGCAGCGACCAAGGCGCGTTTTGACGTTGCCCCAGAGAGCGGGATGGTTGGAACCGCGGTCCTCCAAGTGTTGGCGATGAGCAGCCAAGCCTCTTTTAACGGATCCGAATTGCCTGAAGAGCATGTCCGAATTATTCGCCGCTCGGTTGGTGACCCCGTGCTCTGGGCTAGCAAGCGGGGCCGCGTAGCCGTCTCGAAGAATATGCGTTTTGTCATGCCTGGTGGTTGGCTTGTTTTGCTCTTGCGGCGGGTTTTTGGTGCGGAGTTCGCTGTGATACTCGTGCGACGCTGGATTGGCGAGATAGAAGAGCTTATCGACGTCATCGGCACTGCTGGCCGCGTCACTTTGAGCACGGTAGACTTGCTCAGAGGAGTCCACAAGGGCGCGTGTCTCATCATTGTCGATGGCTGTATAGGCGCATGGGTAAGCTATACCCGCCTTGAGTTTTCAGTTGTCTGGCGACGTCCAGGTTGCGAGAGACTAGTAGACCACAGTGCTGCTTGGTAGGGAGATCGCGAGGCAGAACGAAGATGCTGACCAGCTATCTGCCTGTGGCGTTGGTGAGCACGTAGTCTAGCCAGGTCCTCCCTATCTCTGGTGTTCTTTGGTCCCAGTCAAGCTCTTGGCCGTTGGTGCAGGACTTTCCATCTGGGATATCCGACGGCGACGCTTGGCCACCACAGGATGCAGATCTGTGTAAGGAAAACCGAATGTGTGATATCGTTTTGGGCGTCCGTGCAAAAAAAGTGCGGCGCATCCCGACCCCGGTTGGCGGCTGCCCAGACCTGGTGGAACGCATTGCTGTCAGCCCCGACTCGGCGTACACAGACGCCACGAAGATGCCTTCGGCTTGGCCGGGAGCCGTGCTTGCCCCTCTTGCGACGCCTGGTGGCGCTCGGAGAAGGTACGGGGTAGTAGGCTTCAGTCAAACTATCGCGTGGTCGCGAGGAGGGCCGAAACGGTGGGAGATCGGACCGTGTGTTCGGTCGCCCGTGCACGTAATAGACCGCTGGGCTCCACCCCCAGACGGGTCGCCGAGTTCCGTTCCCTGGTGACCAGATGACCCTGTCAATGGTGTGCATGCGGTCCGCGGGCGAGTGGGTTGCTTGAAGGGCCATAATGGTGGCTCCGTCGTGCTCTCGGAGCTTAATCAAAGTGTTCCAAGTAGCACCGATGCTTGTGACGTTGGTACGAGCGACAGAAAAGGAAAGAGGAGAGAGGAGAGAGGAAGGAAGAGGAGGAGGAGGAGGAGGAGGAGGAGGCAGCAGGAGGAGGGAGCAGGAAGAGGAGGAGGATGAGAAGGCGGAGGGGGAGGAGGAAAGCGGTGCCACGTTAACACGAGCATGCTGTCCACAGCCACGCGACCCGAGTGACCGCAGCCAGACGGATTAAAAAACGCCCCGACGTGGCGAAGGCAGCTTCGGGGGCCCGTCACGCATGGCGACCTGCCGATTCCTCCCTTCCCCCTCCCTCGCTCTCCCCTTCTCCTCCCCATCCTTCCATCGCCGTGCACTGCACGGATGGAGTCCTTCTCCTCCTCCTCCACCTCCTCCTCCTCCTCGCTGCCTCCCTCCCTCCCTCCATCAAAAGTCCACCCTCCTCCCCCTCGTCCTCGTCCTCCCCCTCGTCGTCGTCCTCCTCCTCCTCCTCCACCTCCTCCCTGTCCTCCTCCTCCTCGTCCTCCTCCTCCTCCTCCTCCTCCTCCTCCTCCTCCTCCCTCCCGCCCTCCCGCCCTCCCTCCCTCCATGCCTCCACCCATCAACAGCCACACTCCTCCTCCTCCTCCTCCTCCTCCTCCTCCTCCTCCTCCTCCTCCTCCTCCTCCTCCTCCTCCTCCTCCTCCTCCAGCGGGGCCCCAGGGGTCCCGAGTCCGGTGGGACCCCCGGGGCACTCAGCGCGCGTTCCCTACGGACAGGCGCCCGCGCCGGCCGCAGGGGGCCCAGGGAGGGCCCCCTGACCACCGCCGGCCCCCTCAGCCGGTCGGTGGCGGGGGCGGCGGCGGGGCCAGCGGCGGCGGCCGCCGGGCGGCGGGCGCCGGGCGGGGCAAGCGGCGGGGGCCGCCGTCGCGCTCTGCCTCCTCCACCTCCTTCTCCTCCTCCACCTCCTCTTCCTCAGCGCTCCCGGGGCTTCGCGGCCGCGGCCGGCGTCTCCTCGCCCTCTGTCTCCTCCTCCACCTCCACACCCTCAACCTCCACCTCCTCCTCCTCCTCCTCCACCTCCTCCTCCTCCTCCTCCTCCTCCTCCTCATCCTCGTCCTCATCCTCCTCCTCGCCCTCGCCCTCCTCCTCCTCCTCCTCTTCCACCTCCTCCTCCTCCTCCTCCTCCTCCTCCTCCTCGTCCTCCTCCTCCTCCTCCCCAAAGGTCCACCCTCCTCCCCCTCGTCCTCGTCCTCGTCCACGTCCTCGTCCTCCTCGTCCTCGTCCTCCTCCTCCTCCTCCTCTTCTTCTTCCTCCTCCTCCTCTCCACCTCCTCCTCCTCCTCCTCCTCCTTCCTCCTCCTCCTCCTCATCGTCCTCCCTCCTCTTCTTCCTCCTCTTCCTCGTCCTAACTCCTCCTCATCCTCGTCCTCTCCTCCTCCTCCTCCTCCTCCTCCCTCCCTCCCTCCTCCCTCCCTCCCCCCCCTCCTCCCTCCCTCCCTCCCTTCCCTCCTTTCCTCCCTACATCCATCAAAAGCCCACCCTCCTTCCCCTCGTCCTCGCCTCGTCGTCCTCGGCATCCCTCCTCCTCCTCCTCCTCCGCCACTCCTCCTTCTCCTCCTCCGCCCTCCTCCTCCTACCCTCCCCCCACTCCCTCCTTCCCCCACCCACCAATCAAAAGTCCACCCTCCTCCTCCTCCTCTCCTCCTCCTCCTCATCCTCTCGTCCTCGTCCTCGTCGTCCTCTTGCCGTTCTCTCGTCGTCGTCGCCTTCTCCACCTCCTCGTCGTCGTCCCTTCTCCTCTCTCCCGCCTTCCCTCCCTCCCCCCTCCCGCATTCATCCATCAAAGTCCACCCCCTCCCCCTCGTCCGCCTCCTGCTCTCCGCCGCATCCTCCTCCTCCTCCTCCTCCTCCTCCTCTTCTTCCTCCTCCTCCTCCTCCTCCTCTCCGCATCCCCTCCACCTCTCCTTCCCCCATCGAAGTCCACCCTCCTCACCCTCGTCCTTTGTCCCGTCCCGTCTTCGTTCTCGTCCTCGTCTTCCTCGTGGTCCTCCTCCTCCATGTGTCCTCTCTGTACTCCTGCCCTCCTCCGCCTCCTCCTCCTTCCCCTCCTCCTCGCCCTCGTCCTCTCTCCTCCCTCCCGCCTCCTCCTCCTCCCTTCCTCCCAGAAATCCACCCTCCTCCTCCCCTCGTCCTCGTCCTCCTTCCTCGTCCTCGTCGTCCTCCTCTTCCTCCTCCATCGCCTCCTCTCCTCCTACTCCTCCTCTTCCTCCTCCTCGTCCTCCTCCTTCCCATCAAAAATACACCCTCCTCCCCCTCGTCCTAGTCCTCATTCCACGTCCTCTTCCTCGTCCTCGTCCTCGTCCTCGTCTTCCTCCTCCTCCTCCTCCTCCTCCTACATATTCTCCTCTCCCTCTCCTCCTCCTCCTCCTCCTCCTCCTCCTCCTCCTCTCCTCCTCCTCCTCCTCCTCCTCCTCATCCTGCTCCTCCTTCTCCTCCTCCTCCTCCTCCATCAAAAGTACGCCCCAAGACGCGTCCAAGAGCCCTTCCTGACCGCAACCCCGAGGCGAACGCAGACGTGTAGACAGGGGTGCCCGCGGAGGCCAAAAGAGGGGGGAAAACGGCCCCCCAGCTTCCCTCCTCTTCCTCCGCCTCCTCCGCCTCCTCCTGCTCCTCCTGCTCCGCTTGCTCATCCTCTTCCTCCCCCTCTTCCGCCTCCTCCCTCTCTCCTCTGCCCTCCCGTCGTTCTCCTTCCTCCGCCCTCCCTCTAGCAAACAGCCCAGCCGCTCTCCCGGCTCAGACGGGCTCATCACTCGCCTCGCAGAAAGGCCTTGGCCCCATCGCACTGGCTCGTGAACGCTATCACGAACTTAGCGGTCACGGGGTCGGCCTGGGAGGGTCGGCCTCCCCCATTCCTCTCCTCCTCCGCCTCATCCTCCTCCTCCTCCTCCTCCTCCTCCTCCTCCTCCTCTGCTCATCCATCCCCCTCCTCCTCCTCCTCCCCTCCTCCTCCTCCTCCTCCTCCTCGTCATCATACTCCTCATCCTCCTCCACCTCGCCATCAGCAGCAGCAGCAGCAGCATCATCATCATCATCCTCCTCCTCCTCCTCCTCCTCCTCCTCATCATCATCATCATCATCATTATCATCATCAGCAGCAGCATCATCATCATCATTATCATCATCAGCAGCATCATCATCAGCATCATCATCAACACCATCATCATCAGCATCAGCATCAGCATCATCATCATCAGCATCACCATCATCAGCGTCATCATCAACAGCATCATCATCATGATCGTCATCATCATCATCATCATCATCGTCATCACCATCGTCATCATCATAACCACAAGCATCACCATCATCAACATCCTCATCACCAACATCATCATCACCATCATCATCATCATCAGCAGCAGCATCACCACCTCCATCACCATCATCACCACCATCACCATAATCATGATCAGCAGTATCAGCATCATCGCCCCCAACAGCATAAACGTCATCACCATCATCGTCATCATCAGCAGTATCATCATAAGCATAACCATTCTCCTCCTCCTCATCATCATCAACATAATCGTCATCATCATCATCATCATCATCATCATCGTCGTCATAACCTTCAACATCAACAACATCAACAAGACCATCACCATCATCTTCAGCATCACCGCCATCATCACCCTCACCATCATCAGCAGCATCACCATCACAATCAGCAAAAACAGCAGCAGTATCATCATCAGCATCAGCATCATCGCCATCATCATCAGCATCATCGTCAGAACCACCACCACCATCATCAACATCAGTAGCATCATGTTCACCATGAGGATAACCATCAACATCAACATAATTATCACCACCATCAGCATCAACAGTACCATCATCACCATCATCACCATCATCATCATCATCATCATCATCATTATCATCATCATGAGTACAATCATCATCATCACCATCATCATCATCATCATCATTTTCATCATCATCATCATCATCATGGTCATAATCATTATCATGATCATGATCATCACCATCACCATCACAATCACCATCATCATCATCAACATCATGATCAGCATCATCATTATCATCATCATCTTCATCATCATCATCTTCATCATCACCATCCCTTTTTCTCCCCCTTCTCCTCCTCCTCCTCCTTCTTCTCCTCCTCCCCGTCCGTTTCCTCCTCCTCCTCCTTCTCCTCCTCCTCCTCCTCCCAGCCCGTCTCCTCGTCCTCCTCCTCCTCCTCCTCCTCCTCCTCCTCCTTCTCCTCATCCTCCCCCTCCTCCTCCTTCTCTGCGCCTCCGCCTCCACCTCATTCTCACTTCTCCACCTCCTCCTCGTCGTCGTCCTCCTTCTCCTCCTCCTCCTCTGTCCCTCCTGCACCTCCTCCTTTGCCTCCTCCTGCTCCTCCTCCTCCTCCTCCTCCTCTGCCCCTTCCTCTCCTCCTCCCCTCCTCCTCCTTCTCCTCCTCTTCCTCCTCCACCGCCTGACCACACCACCACCACCACCACCTCCACCACCACCACAACCACCACCACCTCCACCATCACAATCATCAACATCATCATCGTCGCCGTCAGCATCATCAACATCACCATCAACATCAGCATCAACACCGCCGGCATCACCACCCTCATCATCATCATCATCATCAGCAGCATCAGTATCATCACCGTCAGCATCAGCAGCATCACCATCATCAGCATCAGCAGCAGCAGCAACATCATCATCACCACCACCATCATCACCGCCACAACCAACATCACCATCAGCATCAGTATCACCATCATCAGCATCATCCTCAGCATGATCATCATCATCATCATCATCATCATCATCATCATCATCATCATCATCATCATCATCATCATCATCATCATCATGAAAAACAACATCATCATATTCATGTTCTGCAGCAGAGGCATCAGCATCATCACCATCATCACCGCAAGACTCATCATCACTATCGCCATCATTGGAATCATCCGCATCAGCATCATGAGCATTATCATCCTCCGCATCATCATCCTACTTAGCATAATCAGCAACATGACCATCGTCATCACCCCCACCATCCTCATCATCATCATCAGCGGCACCAGCACCGGCAACATCATCATCAACATAACCATCTGCATCACCATAATCATTACCACCAGCATCAGCATCATCGCCATCATAATCACCAGCATCGCGCCCATCATCGTCATCCCCAGCATCAACATCATCATGTTATGGAAAACATCATAGTCTTCAGCATGACCATCATCGTCATCATCACAATCGGCATTACCATCGTCAACATAATCATCAGCAGCATCGCCGTCAGCATCACTATCCCATGATATTCCCCTTATCCGCCTCGCCCTCCTCCTCCTCCTCCTCATCATCATCAGCCCGTCCTCCTCTTCCTCCTCTTCCTCTGCCCCTGTCCCTCCTTCTCATCATCATCAGCATCGTCCGCACCAGCAACATCATCATCATCATCATCATCATCATCATCATCATCGTCACAGGCATCATAATCAGCACATCACAACCATCACCACCACCATCGTCAGCATTATCATCATCGTCATCATCCGCAGCCTCGCCACCATCATCATCCTCATCATCATCACACTCGTTTTCATCATCGTCGCCTTCACCATAAGCATCCTCGTCAACGGTATCAGAATCGTCATCATCATCGCTTCTCATTCCCCTCCTCCTCATCTTCGTCGTCCTCCTCCTCCTCATCTGCCCCTCCTCCTCCTCCTCCCCCTCCTTTTCCTCTGTCCCTTTTCCCTCAATGTTTTGCCAACTCTCCGTCAGGAGGGGAGCTTTCGCAACCCGATTGAACGGCAAAGCGTGTTCGTGCTCCTGTTGGTGATCTTCTTCATGGAGTAGTTTCTTGCTCAGGCTCACGCGCTTTAGTGGCGATGAGCTTCGTCCCGCCACTGCTTAAGTAGATGTCCCGTTAAGCTGAGCGAAGGTCCCTATAAACAGAGAAAGGCCAAGCCAGGGGGCACGGGCGCGCGCGGCGGGAGGGGCGATCCTTCTCACGAGGTCGAAGCCGAAACAGCTTCGATAAGTCAACGATGTCCGGCGGCTGCGGGACATCGATGTTGCGGCGACGCAGGGGCGTGACGAAATCAACTCCCCCCGCGGCTTCCCCGGCGAGTTCTGCTCGCCAGGGTGGACGTTAAGGATTGGTCGACGCCCCGAATTGTGCTCATATTGTGGCCCGTCGCGCCGTGCCCGGCAGGGAGCTCACCCGCTACCTGGCTCGCAGCGCCCCGAGACGCTCTGCGCACTGCACGGGCGCGTCGAGGGGGCATTCGCAGCATAGCTGCGAGCGCCCCTCGTCCTCTTCCGCTCAAGCCGAACTCTGGTCGCCACGGTCCCAGCTGCTGTAGCCTTGCCAGTTGCCTGAGCCCCAGCTCCAAGACGTCCGCCAGTTGTCGGCGTTCTCGCGCCACGGCGGAGTGGAATCGATACTCGGCCGTTCGTCGTCGGCGTTCTCACGCCATGGCGGAGCGGGGGCCGCGCGCCGCCGTGATGGGTCGGCATTTTCGCGCCATGGCGGAATGAGATTCGCGTTCTGCCGTGGATATCTCTCGGCCGGCGGCTCCAGTGCCATTGCGGAGCTTGATCAGGCAGCGCCCGATCTTGGATGCAGATCCCACTGCCTCGGCTTTCCTGCTCGGCGACGCCGAGAATCCAGTCGATCGCCTGGCGCGCGACTACTTCGCCTCATGGCTCCTTTACCGTCGCTCCCAGCCACCTCGCCCATGCCTTCGACGTTGTCGGTCCTTCTTGCTGCCGCGGGGCGGCCCTCGGGCCGCGCGGATTTGGGCCTCTCTTCACCTTTGGCTGACTGCGCTCCGGGGCGGGCATCCGCACTGACGTAGTCAGAGGGGGCCCCAGCCCCAGGTCCCCGCGCGGTCGGCGCTGGAGGCGCCAGGAATTCCACTGGGGGCCAGTACTCCTTCAACTCCCCTTCCATAGCAGCTTTCAAGGCAGCGAACGGCTGGACTTCTTCGAGGTCGCGGCCCCTCGGGAAAGCGCAGTCCCAGCTGAACGGTTCGAGGATGGCATGGCCCTCCTCTTTCATAACCCTCCTGCTGATGCACGGCCACCATGCAGGGTTGCTGCTAGTAACGGGCGCCTTGAAATGTAAATTCTGGAACTTGATCCACCTTTGCCCCGGCCTCTTGACCTTCCTCAGTCTGTAAGGGTTCTGCTGCTCCGGCAGCTCGTCGTCCGCGGACAGTCATGATGGTGCTGTGGAACGCGGTTTTGCCCTGCAGGCCCCTCTCTCGGCGGTCGGCGACGCCTTCTTTACTGGCGTCTTTCAATTTGTTATGTGTGCGTACTTGCACGCGGTCTGCGTCGCGACCCTTCAATCTCTCCCCGGCCCGTGCTCTGCGCCTCGGGGAAAGGGGCATCGCCCCCGTGACCCTCCCGCTTGGCCAGACCGATATCTCGTATATTGGTATGAGACCAGATCGCGTCGGGGGCTGCGACAACGGCGCCGCGCTGGACGGGCGATCTGTGTGTGAGACAGCTCAAGATACCCAACAGATTGCGGCAATCGCAGCTGCGCAGGAGGTAGCCGCCCTCCCAGTCCAGCGGCGCGCAGAATTCGTTATTCTCGATGGGAACGAGCGCGTCTTCCTCGCCAACGCCAGGCACTCGAACGATTTTCTGGTGTGATTGGACCCAGTCTTTGCATGCCGTGCTGAAGTCGGGGATAATTATGAGCCCATGGCGCTGTCGGTCATAGACCAAGGTCCACGAAATCTGGGCTCGCTGCACCCCGGACACGGCGAGACGCAAGATATGATGAACGTCGCTCCACTTGGGTCGGAAGGTTGTTTC